ATGTGGCTCAAGTGATAGCACACTCACCTGGCTTGCATGGGGCACTGGGTTCGATCCTCAGCACCACATAAAAATAAAAATAATGTGTCCACCTAAAACTAAAAAAAAATAAATATTTAAAAAAATATTTTTAGTTGCAACATATAATTGAATTATGTATCTGTGTGCATAATTCATGCAATATATAATTTGTATAAAGTATATTCTTGGATTTTAATTTTTGAAAATAAGTTCATGATCTCTGCCTTTGGCTATATTTCTTTATGTGCATTTGTTTTATTTAAGATAAAAATATTTATTTTTTGTGTGGTGTCTCACACATGCGAGGCAAGTGCTCTACCCCTGAGCTACAACCCCGGCCCCTGTTGCTATTATTTTTACTCTACCACTGAGCTACACCCAGTCCTTCTTTTTTAAAATTTTGAGACAGGGTCTGGCTAAGTTGCTCAGGCTTGCCATCGTCCTGCCTCAGCCTCAGAGACACCATGTCTGACTTATGTTCAAATTTTCCAGAAACTGCCTAATTGCTTCCCAAAGCAGTTGCAGCCTCTGTACTCCTGTGAGCAGGGTGGGAGCACCCTGTCCCTGCCCACCCTCTGCAATGCTTCAGGAGGTCAGTCCTGCAGCTACCACTCCAGCAGGCACATGTGGAATCTCTCACAGCTCACAGACATGACTGCACCTGGCCACCAGTGGCCATGCATGCCCTGGCTTGCCTCCTGCCACGCTGGTTGCTCCTTACTAGTTTCCAGCACATCCCAGTAAGAGTTTGTGATAGGTCTACAATGAACCAAGGGAGAAATGTAGAGGAAGTTAAAAACTCTTACAGTTGGAGCACAGGGTGACTTTTACCACTGTTCAATCTAGTTAAAAAAAAAATATATATATATATATCTTATTTTTGTATGTCTGTGTTTTTAAATTTTTTTCCTAGCAACTTATTTTTGCTATATTTTATTGAATTATTTCTCTGCAACAGACTTCAAGTTTCTTTCTTTCTTTCTTTTGGGTCCCAGGTATGGAACCCAGGGACACGTAACCACTGGGCCATCCCCAGCCCTTTTTAGTTGCTTAAACTGACTTTGAACTTGCCATCCTCCTGCCTCAGCCTCCCCAGCCAGTGGGATTACAGGTGTGCACCACGGGGCCCAGATTTCAAGTTTTCTAAAAAGCTAGTCTCTACACAGTTTGGGAATCTGGCTCTGAGTACCAGTCAGAATTTGGGTCCCTCCAAAGTCATGTCTTTCAAAGATTTCCACTGGGCTGTCTAACTAGCACCTTAAACGTGTCCTTTGTCAAACCCAAGGCCTGCCCAGGTTAGGCAGGAACTCCTGCACTGAGCTGCCCGGGGTGCGTCTTAAACTTAACTGCCCGAATTCCCGGTCTCCAGCGAATCCTGCTCCATCCAGCGCCTGCTCCAGCCAGCCCTGTCCTTCCAGAACCCACCAAGAACCTAGGAGTCCAGACTCCCGCTTCTCTCACACCTGGGTCCCGGCCTGCAGCCCATCTAGGGTCTCCTGAAGCCGGAACCACCCTCGTGCGCCCATCATTCCCGTGCTGGGTCGCGCGTCCCACCGTGGATTCCTCTCTCGCAGCAACAGCCTTCGTGCTTTGGCCCTCCCGTGTCCAGGTGTCACTCCCGCCTCTGCGCCCCCTCCCGGGCAACTCCTTCAGTGTGCAGGACGCTCCGCTCCTTCTCTGCCCGCCCGACGGAGCGCTTCCCCCGCTGCCTGCTGCCTGCCACCCCTCCAGCGTGGTTCCCGCAGTCATTGCGGGGGGGAGGCCGGCCGCGGGGCTCCCACCCAGGCTCCCAGCGCTCCCCAGGACCTGCCGGGCCCAGGCGCGCACGCACTGGGGAGGCTGCGGTGAGGCGAGCGCCCTGGCCGCAAGGCTCCGGGATGGCGGGCGCTGCCTGCCAGCGGCGCCCCAAGCTACTGCCACCGTCACAGAGCCGGGAGGAGCCGGGGGGGGGGGGAGGGGGGGGG